CAGTTCCAGGCCCAAACATGTGATGCTCTGCCTGCATTTAACTATCTACTATGTTTACAACCAGAACTAAAGTCTTTATTCAAACTCAGCTGTTAAAGCTCATCCTGTACTTCTCATTTTTTGGAATCGTGTCTGAACTGAGTCTGTGGTGATCTCTGGACAGATCCCCAGCCACGCTCGCAGTGCGTCCCAGCAGCAGGCGGCGCTCCCTGGGCAGGTGAGAGCAGCCAAGCCCCTGTGCTCCGGAGGCTGAAACAGAACAGGGAGAAGAGAGACTCTCGCATCAGAGCGTCGGCACTGATCGTCAGTCAAGAAACGTGATGGCAGTCAGACGAAGAAGTACAGCTTTTTAGATAATGTAGCTGAGTTATTATTATTATGCAGTTTTATACAATGATGAACCAAAGCTCAGTTTGTTGACCAAACTGTGCCTGTGGAGATGTTTTTTACCGTCAACTTTGCTTTGATTTGAAAGGAATCCTCTCCATTTTTGCATATTTACTGCAGTAATATATAAATGCATTGCTTCTGTGTTCCTTCTTTTAGTAGGAAACCACTGGTTGATCTTGGGGTCTATACTGAAAAGTTCAAATAAACCGGAGCTGTAATCATCTCACTCTCAGAAAACAGTTCTTGATGTTTGTTTTATCCTCCTAAGTGCACCAGACGGGAGGGGTAGATTGCAAACAGATATCAAATCTCACATTCATGGCTGGAGAAAAACAAAGAAAAGCATTTTTTCAAATGCCATTTAACCCGCGTCTGCAAAAAGCCAGTACTTATTGCGTGTCAAAGGAAATGGAGCTCTTTCAGCCGTATTTAATGGCCAACATCATTCTTTTTGGGAGCCTCGGTTTCAGCTGATCTAAGTGCAAGTTACAGGAATTTTTTTTTTTTTTTATGCGACAGAAAATAGTTGAAAAATAGCCTAAGCCATTAAAAAAACACTCATATGAATACCCTTGCGCACTTCTCTCCCAAGGTGTCTGTCTCTTAAAGCTCGATCCAGCAGAAGAATGGGAGCTGCCATTTATTTAGGCACATTAAAGCTGTCACACCCAGAGCCCCGAGGTGTTGTTGAGATAAGAGCCTCAGGTGATCTGTAGCCTCCATCCTGAAAGTTCTTTCAATGCATCAGGTCGCCTTTTGTTTTCTCACCTCCGCACTGATACTGTATGTGTGCACGCATGCATGAGTGAATACGTTCACCTTCACACCACGCTATCTACCTACCTACCTTTGTTAAAAGCATTTGAAAAGAGGATGAAATAACTCTCACCTTTGACTCTGACACCATTTTAGTGTCTTCACACTGTTTCACATTATATATTTACTTTATTTAGCTCTTTACTCGAAGGTCTGCCTTTTCACTTTCAGGCATACATTTTTTATTGTTTTCTTCCTCAATCTTAAAGGTGTCAGCTTTTGAGACGTATGTGCCGCCCCCTCCTTGGTTTTAAATCCATGCACATAAAAACAGCGTGAAAGAGAGAGTCCTGAAAACGATGCTCAGTGCTGCAGGTTCTTCTATTAGCGAGGCTGCATTCATGACTCACACAAATACAGGATCTTAATGGCATCAGTTCACTTTCTCTTAACATATTTTCCTTGACCTTCAGACGTCTGCATATTGTTAGATCGCGTAAAATCAATTAAATATTCATGTTTAATTGCTGTATTTAACAGCAAAGACATGCAAGCATGCTCATAAAGCATAAAGCTGAATGTCACACCCTTTAACCGCTGGTGACACTGTGAGAGGACAACGTTTCTTCTCCTTTTAAAAATTCTGCTCTTGTGTTTTCCAGGTTCCCAGCAGATTTGACTCTAGCTCTAATCATGGCTTTCACTCAGCCCACTTCTGGGTAATTTGTTTCTGACAGGAACTCTCCTATCCGTAACCTGTGGTCACCAAAGCGACGAAGCCTGATTCAAATGTAACTGAGACAAAGACGGAGCCTTTTGAGGTTGAGCCAATTTATAAGCCTCAGACCTTAAAACTATACTTTGACTGGATTTATCAACTCTCTACAAGGGGAGTGGCGCTTGCTATCAATAGAATTACACAAATATGCAGATTTTTTTTTCCAAGTATGGGTTCTGTGTTCTGATCATGGGGTTAGCTCTGGGCCAGGAGGGACACACTTTTGCACTTACATCTTAGCAAACACAGAAAACCAAAAGAATGTTGTTTAGCATTTTTCCAGACCTCTGAAACCCAAATAACATCAAGCCTATTCTTATTCCCAGGTCATTAAAGAAATACACACACTATTTGGCGTCAGTGCTACCTCCATCAATACAGGTGTTAAAAATGGACGAAGAAGGTGACCTTTTATTCAGGAGAATGAGCTCCATGCTCCATTATTTTCTCCATTTAGTTTCATTTTATTTTGTGAAGGCAAACTTCTCGTAACCTGAAAAGGAGTGACGACACCAGCAGAGAATGTTTAGTCTTGTTTTGCATCTATTTCTGACGTTCCTGGTCATCACATTACCCGGGATGTTGGAAAATGATCCTTAAAGCTACTCGGTGAGTTCGAACATGATCCTTAGGAATTCTGACAAAGTGGCAGCATGTGACATCCCTGAATTGTTCAGTTTGTGGAGTGGATGAAAAACATAGAAACAAACAGATCCTACTTTGCTTCACTTGACAGTTTGTATTATATAAAGACACAGTAAAAAAAAAAAAAAACCTGACTGAGTAAGAGAACTATTTATTACTTGATGTATTTGACTGATTGTAATTTTGACCTATATGTTGAGTAATAATCTTGACTTAAACAAAAAGGTTCATTAATTTACCTAATTAATTAATTAATCAAAGACCAGAAAATGAATCTGCAACAACTTCTGATACACGGTGGATCAGTCAGTGTGCTGGTTTCCCATCGTGGTAGTGAGCTGGTACATCTTTGCAGCACCTCATACCATGGAACAGATAAATGACTTTTGTTCATCAGGACTGAAGTCAAAGTACGGCTCAGGGACACACTGCACTTCCTGGATAGAGAAAGAATAACAACAGCCTATACAAATAAACTAGCAAACTTTAGAGAGGATGTTTATGGTGTGTGTGAAAGCAGCATTTACATACAGCGGCTCATGTTAGTGTTACATAAACATACAGCCTTGAAAATAAGTGTTAGACGACCTGCTGTTTTTTACACAACACTGATTATTTAGTTTCAGCTTTATCATAATGGTGACATAATGACAGCATAGTTTAAAAAAAAACAAAACACGAATAAAGTGCTAAAATAATGAAATAATGTAGTAAACTGTGTTTTAAAATATTAGAAAAATTCCCACTAGACAGTGGAGAACATTTTTTGTGTCGAATTAACTAACAAACATTTTACAACTGCCCCAAAAATAATCTCAAGCATTTATTTCATGAACGCTTCTGGTGCTGAACTAAAATTGCAAAATGTCATAGAAAGAAAGATGCGAGGTCATACAAAAAGCTGAAAAAGAAACTAAAGAAGATGCTGTTATTTGAACTATTACACAGCAATTATTAATAACAAATGATGTGAGAGCCTGGCACACCTTTCCTTTATCAAGAATGTGTTTGATGCTCGAATCTACAGTAAACATGAGTAATTTCTTGCTCAGCATTAAAACATATTAAAGTGGGAAAGATTTTTTAATTGTTTTACCCATATTTGGCTCAAGGACTGAAAAATTTGGATTTGTGGCTGTAAAAAGATATTAGTTCACTCAAACTACAGCGTGCAGACCTGAACCACATCGTATCACAGTACACACTGATGAGTGGGCAAGCATAGACAACCTCTGAAAGTTAGAATAGAATAGAATAGAATAGAATAGAATAGAATAGAATAGAATAGAATAGAATAGAATGCTTTTATTGTCATCACAAACAAAATACAGTGAAATTAAAAGACAACTCCAGTGGTGCAAAATACAAGCATAAAAGACAAATAAGAATATATACATTTATTTACAAAAGGAGCCAGGAGGAAGTACATACAGTTTATTCTACCAGACGGTAGAATAAATATGATGCACTGATGAGGTGAGAACACTGTGGTAAAATGGGGAATAGAAATATATAAATAAATAATTATAAATAAATGACATATAATATATATAAACTACATAATATATAATATAATACAGTATAGCATAATACAAATAATAAATATATATGATAAATAGTACAGACTATAGCAGTGATCTCCAACTCCAGTCTGTGTGAGCTGCTGTCCTGCAGGTTTTAAATGTTTCCGTACTGAACCACACCTGACTCAAATGAATGGATCTCCAACAGCTTGTTGTCAAGTTCAACACAAGTCTGTTAATGATCCGTTAATGTGAGTCAGGTGTGTTGCAGTATGGAAACGTCTAAAACCTGCAGGACAGCAGTTTATGAAGACCGGAGTTGGAGATACCTGGACTATAGATGTGCATTCAGTACCCGTATTGCACTTGAGTAGAACGTGTTGGTGAGTCTGGATGTGCGGGCCTTGATGGACCGGTTCCTCTTTCCTGAGGGCAGCAGTGAGAACAGGCTATGCCCGGGGTGTGACCCATTGAAGGTGAAGCTTCTGGCCCTGCGCAGACATCTGGTGTCGTAGATGTCTGACAGAGAGGACAGCTGTGCTGCTATGATGCTCTGTGCTGACTTCCTGACTCTCTCCAGAGCCTTCTTGTCAGCCTGAGAGCAGCTCCTGTACCACACTCAGATGTTGTGGGTGAGGATGATCTCTCTACAGAACACCTATAGAAGGACAGCAGCAGTTCCTGGGACAGGTTGACCTTTCTCAGTGACCTTATGAAGTACAGACGCTGCTGTCCCCCTGGATGAGAAGAGGAGGGGAGATCCTCCCTCTTCTGCCTGAGGTCCAGCACCAGCTCCTTAGTCTTTGAGGAGTTGAGTGCCCAGTTATTGAGGGAACACCAGGTAGTGAGGTTCAGGACCTCCTCTCTGGAGGCCGTCTTATCATTGTTGTGAATCAGCCCAGATAATAATGTCTGATGCTGAGGATGTGGATTCTCCTGAAACAAATCCAGCTGAGACTTCTTGCTACAGGTAAGTTAAACATTGTAGTGACTCACATAATTTGTGTGTTTTAACATGAATTTTTAATTTCCCAACAGTAAAAACATGGACTTGTATGCAGCAGATGTTGAGGAAGAGGACGACGAGCTAGTTGCAGTCAATGTGGAGAATTTCCAACACACAGCAGTGTCAAATGAACTTCTGTGCGTGGCACTAATTGTTCTAAAAGTGTGACCTGTCGGGGATATCCACTAAGTAGATCATTTTTTGTCATTACAAGGAGGAAATGAACATTACACTACCTGACCTTGTGGCAAACTTGTCCCTTGCCATTGATCACAAAACAATCAGCAGGTCAAGGTCCAGTGTTTGGGATGGAGCAGTCAGAGGTTTTAAGCATACAACATGTTCTGAAACCTGTGACATGCTGGTCAGATTTACTGATGATGCTGGTGTTTTTGAGGAGGGAATTGACACAGGTAGTCCAAGAAGATAATTTTTAACTCTGCTAATGAAACACTTGAAAGACCGGCCCATTTTTGATGGACCAGAAGGACATCGGTTCTTGGTCTACAATGCAAATGGTATGCATAGGGTTGGATGTGTACTATACTAATGGTTGATGGTTGATAAATGATAATTAAACATATATATCATATGGCATATGCTTTCCCCCTCAGTATCTTAAAGTATATAAAGTATTGTGTGTTTTAATGTTGCAATATGAATTCATTCACAGCTGTCAGGGAGGATGAATACTTCCTGGCAGGAAAGATGATTGCAGTGTCAGTTGTACGTGGAGGTCCAGGACCCCGTTTCCTGTCAGAAGATTTTGTGCATTATCTTGCTGGCCAGCCTTCGTCCAGATCAACAGCTAATTTAATAATCGATGAAGACATAGGGAAAGCTTTGCGAGAGGTGAGAATAGCGTAAAGCTACGATGTGGTAGGACAGAGTTTTACATTGTTCCTGTTGTGTTGTAGGACAGTAATATCACATACACAGAATTTGCTTCAATTTGTAGTTTTTGATAGGGTAGGGTTACACCAGGCTGAATAAAAACATGCAAGGATATACAGTTATTTACTGAGATGTTTGTGTTGTTTTTTGTGTCTTTTAGATTGAGAGTGTTGCTTCATTGGATGTTCTACAAGCATGTATCCTGAGACGCAGCACAATGTTACAGACAGCAGGCTGTCTGAGGCATGTGGCTGCTGTGGAAGAAAAGAAAGGAATCGTGGCAGACTACCTCCGATGGTGTATTATTGACCGCAGCTCATCTGTAATTAATAGGTAAGATCACTTTGTTATTTTTATTTTTAAAGTAACACGCAACTAACCCCAAATTAACATTTGTTTAGATGGATTGTAGTTATCGGGAAGAGAACTTCGAACAGTTTTCTTTAGATAATTTCTATGCAGTTGCCACGACACAGCAGTGAAACAGTATTTGTGTTCACTTTGTAGATTCAAACATGGTCTTTCAGTCCTTCAGTTTTTGACTGCACTACAGCAGCACCCTTCTTTGCTGACTCCTGTCCTGTGCCACTCTGAAGAGCCGCTCACTGGCTTTGAACTTGAGGGACTCTTTAAAGCAGCGGTTCTCAAACTTTTCGAGCCACGACCCCCAAGATAACAGAAGTTTGTGTTCATGACCCCCCAATTTGAATTTTTAATATATCATGGGTAATAACTTTGTTGTTCATGCACTGATATTAAAAATGAATGTGTTAATGCCACAGATTAATCTCTTTACATCAACTTTCATTTGAATGAATGAATGAATGAATTGAATTTATTTTAAACAAATGAAAGGGAAAAAGAACATAACAACAAAAGAAAATAATTTTGAAAAGGGCATTAAAAAAGAATAATAATATCGCATAATCAAATCATAATATTAACAAATTCAAAAAAGGAGTGGAAGAAGTATACACTTTTAATTTTGACAGCCCCAATACGAATTTATTTGAATAATGTAGGCTTTTATTATTATTATAATATTTTTTTTACAATGATCTGGTGACCCCCTGATATGATCTTGGGACCCCCAGTTTGAGAACCACTGCTTTAAAGGACAGTCTTGATATCCAACCACAGAAGACAAAAGCCAATAAGGACAAAATTAATTGGCTTACAGCAAAAGTGGACGGGTCTTCTGCAGCTGCCAATCAGAGCTCGGCCCAAGGTCACATGATCACGAAAAGGGGAGGAACTTTGACCAGCGCCAGTTAGCAGCCAGCTAGCAGCCAGCTAGCTGTTTTCTGTATTATTTTCT